ACTAGTATAATACTAGTACGCCGTACTCGTAAATAACGATTAGTACGCTTGGTTATCTGGGTATATATATATAGATTTTGTATATATGTATACACACACTATCGTCTTTACCAACCGGTTTCTTTTTTTCGATTACATAATTAAGTCCAGAAGAAGTGTCCTTGAATCGGTTTTTCTAACTTTAAATTATGTTTGACTGAACTCTCTTGTTTTTTTGTTGTAACTTTTAACCACAGACTATACCCATGAAAAAAGACTATAATCACATTGCCAAGAATTTCAACCTTTTTTTTTTTTTTTTTTTTTTTTTTTGAGGATTCATAATATATTTTATTACCCTATTCTATATATAGTATTATTACAGGAAACTCCAATGAAAACCGAAATTGCTATTTTTTTCTATATTTTAGTTTAAAAAAAAAAAATTTAGAAATCTATCAAAAATTAAAATAATTTTTTTTAATTCTATGATATATTTTTTGCTATTTGCAAAAATAAATTTTTAATAAATTTTTATTATAAAATTATTTATTTATAATAAATAAATAATTTTTATAATTTAAAATTATTTTATAATTTTTTTTTATTTATTTATAATAAATAAATATTTTTTATAATTTAAAATTATTTTATAATTTTTTTTTTTATTTATTTATAATAAATAAATAATTTTCTATAAAGATTTTTAAATGTATTATGTATGGAAACAAAGTTTTTGACCCAATTTTTATTAATTTAAATTAATTATTTTCTTTCGCGTTTGACCTGGAAATTAAATTTACTCATCTAATTAGATTGTAGAGGGAAATTGTTAATGATTTTAACTTTTTTTTTTTTTTTCGTTACATATATAAATTACAAATGAGTTAATTAAAAATTTGTATTTTCTTTACAATTTTTTTTTTTTTTTTATGAAATATTTTTTTGACTATGAGAATTTTTCTTCTTTTTGCCATAAAAATCGAGTGACCTGTGAAAATTTAAATTAGTTTCTTTGAACCTTTAAAACGTAATATAATGCTAATAAAGCAATGTTTTGATCACATTTACCAATACGATCTCATTGACCTCAAGTGCGTTCCAATAAAGTTCATAGGCCTGAAAAGTTTTTTTTTCTTTTTTTTTTTTTTTTTTTGCAGTCATCGAACTTTACAATATATATATATATATATATATATATATATATATATATATATATATATATATATATATATATACATTGATTTTTTTAGTCTTCTTTTGCATGGTTTGTTGAACACATCTGATTATTCATCTCGTGCATATGTTTCATTATTCCTCCTTGAAAAGAAAATTTCAACGAAAAAATAAGTTACGAAAGTATAACTGTGATATTTCAAATTTTTATTTCAATTATTTTCATTATAAAATTATAATTTTTTTTGAAAAATTTGTATAGGAATATTAGAATTAGAATTTGGTTTTTTATAACAAAATTTTTTTCTCCAATAAACTGGAAAAAATTAATTGTATTGTTTTACAATAATAAAAATAATAATAATAATAATAATATAAAATAGCTTTAGTTAAACGAGAATTTTTCAATTTATTACCCAAGGTCATTTTGCCATTTTTTTTTCTTTTTTTTTTATTTGTTTTATATTTATGGTCGCGAGAAATGACAAGGATAATGTTACTTTTCCTTTTTCCTTTTAATGGAAAATTCTGTATTGTGTGTGGTTTGTAGGTAAAAATTCCAAAAATTATTCTCTTAAACATATGTCACAATAGATATATAATTGTCAATAAGTGGAAATAAATGATCAATTATTTTCACTGTTTGAAAAAGTTAAAAACATTTTTTTTGTATTTAAAGAAATATATGAAAAAAAAAATGTAAAGAAACAATTTTTTTTCCTGATAATTATAAAACTATTTTTTTATTTAGTAAAAATAAAAACTTTTTATAGAAAATGTTAATTCAGTTTAAAATATTTTATTTTATTTAAAAATATTTTATTTGGAATTTTTTTTTTTTATTTAAAAATATTATATTTTATTTGAAAATATTTTTTTTATATTAGTTTTTTTTTTTTTTAGAGACAATAAATTTTCTTTGAATTAAGAATAATAAAAAAATGGTTGTCTGATGGGAAATAATTATCTTACTTTCGTTGTGTGAAAAAAAAAACTGAATCATCCTTGAGGTTTCTTATTGTTCATGCAAAAATGCGAAAAATTATATACGTTTATCGGAAAATTTTTATTTAAATTAAAAGAAAAAAAAACCCCCCTTTTATTTAAGATTGACTGAAACTTCATATCACGTGTGCTCAGCAAAACGAAATGATAGCGTTTTGTGTCAACGACCCGTTACATCAACAAAGAATTACCTGACTTAATCTTTCAGATAATTAAATGCATCAACGTACATTAAACGGAGAAATACTTTTGAAAAAATTATTATTAAAAAAAAAAAAGAATAAAACATTTTGCACTTGAATCGAAAATAATGACACAAACATTTCTATTTTGATACTAAAACTATTAAGTTATTATTAAATTATTAAATTATTAAATTTTATTATTAATTAAAAATTAATAATTAATAATAATAATAAAATTATTAAAATTTATTATTAATTAATAATTAATAATTAAATAATTAGGAATTAATTAAAAATTAATTATTAATTATTAATTAATTATTCAATTATTCAATTAATTATTAAATTGATTAACTAAAATAAATAATATAATTAATTCTATTTAAAAATTTCATAAATAAAATAATTATCGTTTTTATTAAAACTATTTATTTATTTGTTGAATTTAAAAAAAATTTATGAAAAGAATTTAAATAATTTATAAAAATTCCTTGAAAAATATAGTAAATTAATTAATTAATTAATTAATATAAATTGAAAATTGTTATTGTCAATGATAAACCCTTTCGAACGTGCAAATTTGCAATAATTGTAGTGAACGTGTTACGTTATCATTTATTTCTAAATCCACTTATTATGTGTGTGTTATTATTTTTATTAATTCAATGCTATCGAAAAAAAAATATATATATATATTAAATGTGAAATTTTCAATATGAAAAATAATTAAAAACATAAAATTAATTTAAGAAAAAAAATTCATTTTTTATTAATTCTTCTTTTGTTTTTTAGATTTCTAAAAATATTCGACAAAATGAAGGACGACGTGGATGAAGATGATGCTGGAGCTTCGTCATCTAGTTCCGTTTCTGAGCTGCAAACTGTTTACGGGTGAGTCGAAAATTTATTATTTAAAATTTTATACCTTTAATTTCGTAATCGTTATAATTTATAATTTTCTAAAAAAAAAAAATTCAAAATATAAATTCGCGTTTCATTCTATCGCAAAAAATGCATAAAAATATTGCGCGAATTGAACGTTTTTTTTTTTTATTTAAAAAATTTAGAAAAATAAAATAATAACTAATTTTTTTTTTAATTATAAATTAATTAGAATTTTGCTGGGAATTTCGATTTTGACAAAATTTATTGCAAAAAAAAAAAATTCCTGTAGTACATTGAAAAAAAATTTATTTGATTCAAATAATCGGTTGATTATTATGTCAATTAAATTTTTTTTTTTTGTGTCAAATAATTGTTTATTTGCATCAAATAAATATTTATTTGTATTTAAAAATTATTTATTTGTATCAAATATTTATTTCTGCCAAATAATTATTTATTTCTACTAAATAATTATTTATTTCTGCTAAATAATTAGTTATTTCTGCCAAATAATTATTTATTTCTACCAAATAATTATTTATTTCTGCTAAATAATTATTTATTTCTGCCAAATAATTATTTATTTCTACCAAATAATTATTTATTTCTACTAAATAATTATTTATTTCTGCTAAATAATTATTTAATTCTGTCAAAATTAATTATTTATTTGAGTCAATTAAATTTTATTTTTTTCATAAAAAAATTATTGATTCAAATACAGTTTATTTAACCTTTAGCTTGCCGGCGTTTAGCAAAATCCAGCAAAAAATCTTAAATTTAGGCTTTCCGGCAGTCTACAGGTTAATTCAATAATTTGTTTTCCAAAATTTATTTGCTTTCAAAAATATATTTTTTTTGGACAAATAAACGATTATTTGAATCAAATAAATTTTTTTCTCACTTTTATCAAATTTATTTTATTATTTTCCTCAATTTTTTTGTAATTTAGAGTTGATTTAGAAATTTAGGGAAATGTAAAAAAAAAAAAAAAATTAAAGAACAAAATTCTTCTCTTTTGACGATGATGATATCAGTGGATTTTGATGACGATGATGATGATGAAGTTTAGGGATAAGATAAAAAAAAAGCATTTTCGAGAAAGGAGATTGCAATTATGTTGATGATTAATTATTTCTCATTTCTCCATTGAGCGAGATTGGTAACAAGTTTTGTGTTCAGCACACACTTTTTAATTAATTTACTCGACCATTTTATTCGTAACGATCAATCTCGAAACGATTATTATCTGATTGCGGAGAAAAAGAACAGCTCAATATATAGTAAAAAAAAAAAAAATTAAAAATTTCGCCTCTGAAAACACCTTTCAATCAATCATTTTCCAAAAGTTTCTTTTTTTATTAAAATTTTGAAAAAAAAAAAATTTCATTTATTCCTAAGAATCAAAATTGATCCCCTGAAATTTTTATATAAATTTATTTTTCTATAAAATAATTGTTTATTCTGTTATAGACTCAAATATTTCTATTCTAAAATTACACACACAAAAAGTGTGAAAATTTTTTGAACAAAATGCAGCCTTGAAATTTCTTTGAATTTTCATTAAAAAAAGAAAAAATTCTTCTTTTCATAAGTTCTTCTCCTTCGAAGATATAGAAAAAAAAAAATTTTCGATCTTTAATTGACCGTCGAATGAGAATTCTCTCTTATCGTTATCAGTGCTTGCACCGCGAGGCTTTCGATCCGATGCGGTTACATGTTACTAAAGCATTAAAAAAAAAAAAGGAAAAAAAAAAGAGGGACGCCGTTTGGTATATCGTTTCGAGGCCAAGTAGTGGGAGAGTTTAGTTATACACTCGCCGAAGGAAGAAACCAACAATCTCCCGCCAGTTCGCATTCAACCTTCGCGTTAAAACGGTGTTTATACACTTATTTTTTTTCTCTCTCTCTCTATCTTCCCTTCCCCGTTTTTGATCTTCTGTGATTTTTATATATATTTCTTTTGAAAAAAAAAGAAATTTCCTAATTTTCCCAAAATTATTGTGCGTCAACCAAATTTTTAGTGATTTTAGTGATTTGGATTAGTACAGCAGAAAACCAGTGAAATTTCAGATAATTGGATTTAAGATGCTTTAGGATTTTTTTTTTTTTATTTTTTTTTTGAAGAAAGGCAAAATTCCGTTAAATATATTTAAGCCAGTGCCAAGGTCAACGCTCTCCCGCAGGCCCGAAAAAACAAATCCTCATTCCATCTCGCTTCACTTTATTCTGAATCAAGATATTGGCGGTCTAGAATTTCAGCGCATCGAAGAAGAAACGTATTTACATCTCTCTCTCTCTGTTTGATATAGGCCTTCTCTTGTGTATGTGTTTAGTGTTCACTGATTTAAATAGATTGTGCACGATGGAGACGTGTCGCGATTTCAAAGGTAACGTGAAACGATCAGACTTGCGGTGACGAATTTAAAAACACAAGGAATCAACAAAACAAAAGCCGGTTTTCTAGATATATAATAAAAAAAAAAATTTTTTTTTTTAGTTTAGAAAAGAAAAAAATAATCAGTGATTAAATGTGTGCTCTTTATCGTCCCTGGAATATAATCGAGGCAGATTAGTTGCAAGGTTAATTTTCAATGTGTTGTGTAAAGAATTAGATTTTTTTTTAAAATGGAAATACTGGATAAAAGTGATGTTGTTGGTTTTTTGAAGAGATTATTCTCTAATTCAATAGGAGAAATTTATGTGATTTGTGTTGATTTTTAAATCATGTGGTCACATGAACAGAGACAAACGGAATTCACATTGGATAACTCGCAACATTCTGGATTGTTTGATAATAATAATGAAAGTTCAGGTCATCATACCACCATGGACATCTCACCTGGGCCAAGGTTAGTTTATAATTTCCATTGTGAAATTTTTAGTGGATTTTTTGTGCGAAAGAAAGAGGAATATTTTATTTAGAAGGGATTATTATTGAAATTTTTGTTGTTTTAAATAAATATTATTCAGATTTTGATGTTTTAGTTATGTATATAAATTAGTGTGGTAAAATTTGTTTTTCATTCGCTACTAATTTTGTATTTATAAAAATTTTGTTTCTTCGAAGCTAAATCTGCAACCTCGTCTGCAGTCTGAGATTGATAAATTCCAAATTTGAATGTAATAAGTTCAACAAAATTGGCTTTCGGGAAACTTTTCGATTTATTTTCTGCAAATTTTGATGTGTTTAGATGAATAATTTTATTATGATTTTGATCAAAATTCGTTAGGATCGTAATTAGTGATACAAAAGGTTTGGTTTATGTTCTGCAATATTTGTATTTAGATAAATAGTGATCATAATTTGTTTAAGTTCGTAATTAGTAGTACAGAAGGTTTTTGGTCTATGTTCAAGTTTTGGATTTCAATGGTACAGAAGGTTTATGTTCTGTAATTTTTTGATAATTAGTGATAATAATTATTTGTTAGTATCATAATTAATGGTACAAAAAGTTTACGTTCTGCAAGTTCTCATGAATAATTTGATTATGATCATAATTTGTTAGGATCGTAATTAGTGGTACAGAAGTTTTTATGTTTTCGATTGTTCTGCAATTTCTGAATTTGAATAAATAATTATCATAATTTGTTTGGTTTGAAATTAGTAGTGATTTTAATGAATAACACAGGCCGACAAAATTTTGGCCACCTTCAGAATTAAAAACCAGACTATAATTTTCCAATGCATTTTGATGTGTTGAATCTGAATCTAAACTTTGAATTGACCCAGCACGTCAGGTTTCTGGTTAATCCAGAAAAGACGATTTTTGGCCGTATTTTAAGTCGTGGAACATTAACATATAATTTTTTTTTCAAAAAGGCCGTTACAGCATCTGAAAGTACTATTCTTACCCTTTAAAATGCATTTTGAAACTTTCAAAAATCTTTATATGGCTCTGAGTTATCGTCATTTTAATTTTCTGAGTGAATGTTTCAAGTATCAGATAATACTTCAAAAAATTCAAATGACGATTCCTCGGAGCCAAATAAAGATTTTTTAAAGTTTAAAAATGCATTTTTAAGGGTAAGATTAGTATTTTCAGATGCTGTAACAACCTTTTTGGGTCAGATTTGGATTCAGCATATCAAAATGATTTGAAAAAGTATAGTTTGGTTCTTGATTTTGAAGCTAGTCAAAATTTTATCGGCCTGTGTAATAATAAGTGATTATAATTTGTTAAAATCATAATTATAATGGATCTGAAGGTTTGTGTTCTACAATTTCTATTTCAAAATCTGTTGGGATCGTAATTAGCGATACGGAATTGTTTTTGGCTTATGTTCTGCTCTGGATTTTGATAAGTAATCAGTCATTGTAATTTGTTCGGATCATAATTTATAATGGTATACATAAGGTTTGTGTTCTACAAATTCTGGATTTAGATAAACAATTAATTTTCAAAATCTGTTGGGATTGTATAATTACTGATACGAAATTGTTTTTGGTTTATGTTCTGCAATTTATGGATTTAGATAAATAATCAGTCATTATAATTTGTTTGGATCATAATTATAATGGATCTGAAGGTTTGTGTTCTACAATTTCTATTTCAAAATCTGTTGGGATCGTAATTAGCGATACGGAATTCTTTTTGGTTTATGTTCTGCTCTGGATTTTGATAAGTAATCAGTCATTGTAATTTGTTCGGATATTATAATGGTACATAAGGTTTGTGTTCTACAAATTTTGGATTTAGATAAATAATTAATTTTCAAAATTAGCATCGTAATTAGTGATACGGATACGGAAGTTTTTTTTTTGTTTGTTTTATGTTCTCCAAGTTTTAGATTTCGATAAATAATTAGTGATGATAATTAGTGGTACAGAAGCTTTTTTTGGGTTAATGTTCTGCAAAATTTGTATTTAGATAAATATTAGTAATTCTAATATAGCATCATAATTAATGGTACAAAAATTCAGTTTTTTTATTTATATTCTTCAAGTTTTGTACTTTGATAAATAATCAGTGATAATAATTTTTTTAGTATCATCAATGGTACAAATTTTAAAACTTATACAATCATAAAATGAAGAAATTGCTTATACTTTTACTTTGTCAATGAAAAATGATGATTAATGAAAGACAGGTTTATAAATTCTTTAAGAACCAATAATCAATCTTATGTTCCTTTTTTATTTATCGCGCTTCTTAAAGATTTTTTAGCGGTTCTTTAGGAATTTCTCAGAAGGACTCTTTCTAAACGGATTGATGTTAATTATAGGGGTTATTGTTGTTGACCTCAAGGTTGATTTGGTTACAATTTTTTTTTTTTTTTTTACATAGAATTTTCAATTTAATACATTTTTTTTTTCTTTCTTAATAATAATTGTACGATTGTATGAAAGCAAGGGCAAGAGCCTTAATATCATCGTTCAAGGACAAATTGATACAGACTTCGTAAGAAACAAATAAGCTGCATCAAGACAAATTTATTATGTCTCGCATCTTAATTACCAAATATTCAATTTTTTTTTTCATACTCAATGAATTTTAATTTATTTATTTTTTTGGTTTGAATTAAATTAAATTTACAAACAAATTAATTTTTTTTTTTTTATGTAAACAAGTCGCGCGCTCACGAATTTGGATGAATTCCAAAATTTTCGGACATTTGAAAAGTCATTGTACCGCCTACGAATTGATCTTGGCAAAACTCGCTATATAAGACAACGAGAGTGTGTATATATCGTCATTAACGTGAGAAAATATTATATTAAAACATTTTCTCTTCTATTTTTGCATTGATGTCTGTTATACTATTACGTGAGATATTTAAGTAATAAATTTTACCAACTCTCAAATTTCACACGTGCGGGGGTTTTGCCATTTAGCCATCGGTCGCGTTTTCTTCATTAAATATTATTTTTCAAAGCTTAAAACATAAATATTTTCCAGGAAATTCATTTTCGTTTAATATAATCAAAATTTTTATATTTATAATTGTTTTTTAGATTAGATACGTATTTTTAGATTTTATTTATAGAGATGATGAGATAATTGCAGTTATACCATGGTTTGGAATTTTTAAATATTTCTTCTCTTTCGTTTTTGTGCTCGTATTTTTTTCTCGATATTTCAAAAAAAAAAAAAATTTATTTAATTTAAATAAATGTTTATTTGTTTCAAGTAAATATTTATTTATTTCAAGTAACCGAATATTTGAATGAAATAATTTTTTTTTAAATCAGTGTTTCGAAATGAAAATTCAATTTTGAATGACATGAATTGAGTGGAATTTAATTTTCTTTTTTTGTCGGTTAGATGAAAATTATGTAATGGAGTTTCCCGAACCCATATTATATTTATTGCTAGGAAATTACAGGAATAAATATTATTGGCTTCTTGCTAGACAGTTTGGCGACCATTCTCTCTTTGTGTTGCCCTTGAACATTTTAAACCTTGAAAAATTCACTTTACATTACGTAATCGAACAATGAGAATAACATTGGCATTGATATAAATGCTGAACCTACCCGAACGTAAAAAACAGAAATCTAACGTTAATTTGATATATGTTTCGTGCGCATTTATGAAAAATAAAAAGATGCAACGTCAGGATCATTTACCAGCGGAAAATAAAAATTATATTCTTTTGTCGATTGTTGCATTTTTTTTTGAACGTCTGGGTATTTTATTTCATGTGTGGAAAATTTTTTTGTATTTTTATGCAAAATCATATTAATTAATATAATAATAACTATTATTATTAATAAAATAATAATAATAATTACTATTAATATAATAATTATTAATAAAATATATTTTTAATATAATTTTTTATTAATACAATTTATTTTCCATATAATTTGTTAATAATATAAATTATTTATTTATTTATTATTAATATTAATTTATTATGAATGCAATTTTTATTGTTATTATTATTATTATTATTATTATTATTTAAATAATTATTAATAAAATTTATTTTTAATATAATTTTTTATTAATACAATTTATTTTCCATACAGTTTGTTAATAATATAAATTATTTTCAATATAATTTATTAATAATATAAATTATTTTCACTGTAATTTATTATTTAATATTAATTTATTATAAATGCAATTTTTATTATTATTATTATTATTATTATTATTTAAAAAATATAATAGCTGTACCATTATTATTTGTCAATAGAAATAGCTACAAAAAATAGTAATTAAAATCGTTGATTAATTTTCAAAAAAAAAAAAAACAAAAAAAAATTGTAAAAAATTTGCAAAGTAGAGAACAAAATGGTTTAAAAATTAAAAAGTGTGAACTTGACAGTCTTCATAGCTGGGAATATATAAAATGCAACGGAAACCTGACCATTGACACATAATATACGTCATCGCGTTCTAAGTGCAATCAGTTGACTGAATACATATATATATATATATATATACAGGTTATATAGTGTCGCAGGTGATTGTTTGAGGGAGGTCGGGATTATTTCATATATTATTATATCAGAAGGTCAAAAAAAATTCTTTTCATGAAAATTTTTAGAAGCTATACCTTTGTTCTAATACAAGAATTAGAAATAAAATTTTTTTTACTCTCTCATCTTGATTTTCTTTCACAAAAAAAAAAAAAAAAAAAAAAAAAAAAATTCTTTTCTCTCCAGAAGTTTTTTTTTTATTAAATAATCCACGTGCAATTTGTTTGAGCTTCATAGTATAAAAATTCAATTGAATTTGAAAATCAGTTTTCTCATTTTTATGCGTCTCCACGGTCTGGGTTTTTTTTCTTCTTCTTGAAAATTAGTATTACATTATGTTCATAATATAATTTATTTCATTTACTTTACATTCATGTGTAATGTAAATTTTGTAATTTATATTTGTGATAATTTTTATTG